ATATATATATATATATATATATATATATATATATATCGTTCTTCCTCAGCTGCTGGTTTTGTGAAAGTATCTTTCTCTGGAAATTGTATTTTTTTGCAAAGATGCATAAAATAGATATAGTTGGTTTCATTTTTATGACTCGGCCGAGTTTTGATGTTTCATACTGCTCTTACAACACCCTCTTCATTAGACTTCTATACTTGTTCATCTTCTTGAGAATCTGCTGCATGAAGGGAAATAATTGGATTTGGCAATATAAGGTCGCCTATTTGTCCTTATAATGAAGCAGAAAATAATCCTTTTTCCAAATACACTTGGATTCGTCAACCCAAAAAAATGTTTTGCCCGTTGAATGAACTGCAGTTTTTCTAACACATTCAAGCCGCAGCACTCGAGTAAGTATTGTATTCAGTATACGAAGTTAGATTACGCGGTATATTTCGGTTCTGAAACCTTCTACATTGGACTCTAGGATAATCAGAGACGAGTTTAAAAGAATCGTTAGTGCCCCTTTTTATTTACACTGGTTGTACTTTGCTTCTTTATTTTTAAGCATTGGAAAATGACATTTGTACGGTATTTTCGCTCATCAAGTGCACCAAATGTGCTAGTAACCTTCAAGGATATTTCGGTTGACCGTTTGAAAGAAAACTTCAATGTGATACAGTATAATGGCGAATCTACTACCGTCCCACATGACCTCCTCTTAAAGTATTTGCCCTTGTCAGACGGTATTTTTTGTCAGGTATGCGTTTGATAAGTTCTTTTGATTCATTTATTTTATTTTATTCATCTCCTTCCTTTTGCTCTTTTCAGCAAATATCACTTCTTAGAACATGCTGCATTTAAGGACTTTTAGAAGTTGCTTTGCTGTTATGTAGTGGTTGTTTGGCGGAATATAACGGATAAACTGCAAAGATTTGATGCAGTCAAGTACTATAGGAATTGTTCTTATCTGTTAATCAAAAATTTAGTTCTTTAGTCTTTCATCTGTATTCCTTTTTTTAACGGCTGATGAGACATGGATCCAGGTTTGTGACATTATTGACGGAGAGCTTTTAAATGCTGCGAAACACTTAAAGATTATTTCTACGCTTTCTGTTGGCACAGATCACATTGACGTCGACGAATGTAAAAAACGGTAAAGTTTTTTTCTTGCGATTGGTAGTGAATTTCGACAGGTTCAAATTAATCCGTATTTGTGAATTACTCTAATATGGGTTTGTGAAATTTGCATCCGGTTTG